CTACTTAAATTAGGCACTTAAAAGGTGCACGTGTAGCTTGATGTATCATTGTTGTAATTGCATATAAAACACCATTTCAAATCTTAATAAAAGCTTTCAGTCCAAAGAGGTCTCCTTAACTTTAAAAAAAAAATACTTGTCTATGCGAGTTTGCTAGACGAAACTTGTTGATATTAAATCTGATAATGAGAATCATCACATGTAAAATGAATGGGAAAAATAGAAAAAGAAAAATGATAAAGAGGTTAGCATTTGTATAAATCTCGTTTTTTCTTGTTTTAACTGGATTCTCAGATCTTCTAGTCATGGTTTGGCCCAAATACAAGACAATGCCTGGATCAAGAATAATACTAAGATAGTACTGAGATGGATAATGTTAAAATTCAGTGTAATTAGTAAAGGGAAAAAATACCATCCTCCCTTCTTTAAAATAAAACTGACTTTTGACATCTAAAAGATTATCTTCAAGAAGTTGACTATTTCTGAATTAGTACTTATATATATATCTTTAATATTTTGATTAAATACATAACTTCTTTTTTTTTGAATTAAATCGAATTTTAAACAGTTAAAAAATTATTTTTGTTTTAGGTTATCTTATTTTAAGACATCGTGATTATGTACAATTTATATATTGTATCTTCATCAAGATTAGATCTTGTGACGCAGATGTTCAGCAAAAATCAGATTTTAGAATTTCATACGTACGTATATATAAGAAATCATCATTGACGCTTTTTTCTTACTTTACGTGTAAAATCTAACTCTAACTTTTTTTTTGCTTTTAAGATCATGGTTTATTAAGTACGTATACACTTTAAAGTACATATTACTTTGACAACTTTTATATACATATAATTTGTATATATATATTTCGACTTCTATTAAAGCTTATACAAAATATCTTAATCTCGAGCGAATTCTTCAAGAACTTGTTCTGGAATTCGATGATGAGAACGATACTTCTTTACCACATAGTCAACAGCCTTTCCAGAAAGCCCAAATTCATAAGTACTCATAAAGCATTCAGAATAGCGAGTAAAGCGGCGAATCTTTAATAAACCAACAGAATCTAATGCCTTTGGAACAGTTTTTTTGAGGCCTTTAAAACTATAATCACAGTGAATTCTTGTATAATGTTTCACTTCGGCCCAAACAGACTCGACATAATTAAATTTATAATGGAACTTAGGGTAAAAGATGCACATGTGGCCGGCATCTTCAATTGTCTAAATTATTATATATATGTAAATAATAGTTTTTAAATAATTTTTCTTTTTTTTAAAAAAAAAACAACCTTATTTATCTTTCGTAAGCATGATCTTTGAGATGCAAAGTCAGATTGGGCTAAAAAAATATGTAAAGCGCAACAGTTTGAATTAGTTGGATCAGGCTTATTTTTTTACAAGTATTACACTTTTTTATAAAGCCTGGTATCCATAAACCTTTTTCTTCAAGAACTCGTTTAATTCCTTTAGGCTTTAATACACTATTACTGTCTCTATAGATTATTATATGCTTGGAACTATCGTGATATTTACCAGCATGAAGAAGTGGTTTTTTTGTACCATCTTTCATGCTCATTTGTAAGACCAAAAGGGCATCTTCGGCAAATGAACCATGATTGCTACTATTATCAAACATGAATAGCGCTATCTTGTTGGGGTGCATTCATTCAAATATTGGTATAGCACATAAAGCTACCTGATTAACTAAATCATCGCATGTCCACCAACCATCATGATTTACATCTAGATAGATGGCAACACCTGCTTTGGTATATTTGAGACATATGGAATCAGAAAGTAAGTCATTTATAGCAATTTCATAGTCTGAAAGTTTGAGACGTCTAATAGTTTCACAGACAAAATCACTAATATGAATACTGGAGCCCTGTGATTAAGGATAGAAATCAAAAATTAGTTAAAATATCTTTAACCAACTTACTAAAATATTAGAAATAATAATATCCTGGTCTATTGGGGATTAGCAAAACGAAGATTCTGCTTATTTACATATGGATTAGGATATTATTCGTTATAGCCATTTTCAAAAACTTGTAGAAAGATACAGTTTACTATACCTATACATAGGTGTCTAAATTACTCCTTTTAATAAAAATTTTTTCAACAATTAGTCTGTTGAAATTAATTTTTTTTAATGCCAAAATTAAATTTCAAATTATTTGAATTCTTTATATCAAAATACGTTGGGTAATATAGTCACTTTGTGGAATTCATATAAAATAACTAGCAATTCGAAATGTTTGTCAAATTGCTTTTTTTAAAAAATAATTTAGACACCTATATATAACTATACCATGAAGAATTCACAATATTTTCAGATTTCCAGAGTTTTCAAGACCCATTCTAATTGGATTTTTTTATTCGAATTGCAACTTTTTGACAAATACCATCAAGTGACTTTTTCAATCTAGTTATTTTATTTTGAGCAGGAATTGTTTGCAGTCTAGTTAGTTGGGTAGCATTCTTTAGAAATTCTATTTCCCATACTAAAAACCCACCACCTTTTTTCTTTAATTTTCACTAAGCAGGATTTTTACATTCTTTGATTCCCTACATGCGTATGTATATAGAAATCGTTTTCTATATTTTTTTGAAATAGCTATAATCCCTGTGACATTGGCATAGTGATCAGGGATTGTGGCTGATTGATAATATGTATGTATCATTTATGAAACCCCAAAATTTGAAAAATTTGTCCACTAAGATATAAATGTAGATTTTGGCTGAGATATGTAAGAAATTTTTCTCTGTATCATTATAATAAATTTACATGTCTAATAAGAGAGGAAAAATGGTTTAGCCTGTAGAGAAGATGGGTTAGGCGCATTATTAGTCTAGATCAAAGGTCCAATAAAAAATTTTAGGGTTTGGTATCAATTTATTAATATGTAAATTGGTAACTAAGATTTACTTTGGAGGACAAAATACTTGAATTTGATGATTAAATTTTAGTTAAGTTTTATAAATTTGCCGTAATGTTTTAAAAATTTTAGTCGGCTCATTAGCCGACTAAAAATGGCATTTAATTCTAATTCTTACTTGTGATTTTCTCTGTAGGCCATATTCATCTTTCGGGCTCCAATATTGTTTTATACCATCATTCACATAAAGAGTGGTCTTGTCTTGGGTAACAGGAACAATTTTAGCCTCATCAAGATCAAGGTTTGGCAGGATATGGGTTAAATTTTTATCATATCTAAACATTTGTCTTCATAGCCTAGCCATTTCCTGCAAAAAATCGTTTCTATACTCCACTACCTCTTTAGTTCATGACTATCGAAATAAATCTTTTTTGTATAGGTTTGATATCTCCATCCAAGCAATTTTAGCTATCTACACGCAGTTGACCTGCTAATAGACTTGCTTATGACTCCAAAAGCGGGCATAATATAGCTAACATAACTCATAAAATTTGGAATAGATAATTTAAATTTATTTTCTTCCAAATATTGATTTATTTGACATCAAAACTTATATTATGTATTAAAGATTTTGTTTTTACATGTTAACCACGTTTCGACTTTATTAATTCTTTAGAGAGGTGTCATATATCAGATAATTTTTTAGGGGGTCAAAAATTTTGGAAATTACATATAAAAACCTAACAATTTTTATATATAAAAGTGGGGGAGTAGGCCACTGATAAAAAAAATCAGGTGATAAATGATAGCGCCCTTATTATTTTTCTATTGATTTGCCTAGGTTCGAATACACCGAGTATGCCATGGGCCTTTATTCAAACTCTTTGTCAAAAGTTCACTTGCTTTCATTTTCGTATACTCTTGATTCACAAGATGAAGAAATTGTCTTGTTGTATTGATATTTATATCAATGGTTTTTGTTTTCAATTGCACGTCTAGTGACAATAATATAGAATTATCATCATTAACACAACTGTCAAGGGTCTTATTTGACGAAGAAGCAAGTTTTGATACTGTAGGCTGATTTTTGTTAGAAGTAGCATTGGTCGATTTAACAGACGATTTATTTTTCCATTTTGTGGCAGTAGCTTGTCAAGATTGTTTTGTGTGTTTATTTGCCTTTGGCATTTTTATTTTATTTTATTTTATTTTTAGTACATATTTAATTTACAAGTTTCTGATCAAACACGTATTTAGAATTGATAAATTGTCTAGAGAATCAGGTGTTAATACCAGTTCATATTCGAACAATGCCTATCCAAAGCTAATTTTGGAATACATATGTGCTATTTGAGTACGTATAAATATATTATTTCAAGTACGCGCGTGTGTGTTATTTTAGATTAAGGGCTAATTGTAATTGTTAATTTATATGATCCAAACATACACATTATTACGCGAAAATATGATACATAATGAAGCAATAGACTTTGAAGAAATGTCAATAGATTAGTTTTTTGAGCTCTATTCACATCGTGAATAGAGCTCAAAAAACTAGTATCCATTGGCTCCACTTGCAGCATCATTGGGTTCTATTGAAGCAGTGTTCTATTGAAGCAGTGTTAGACTATGACAAGACTATAACAGGTCAATATCATATGATTTTACATTCTAATTGAACTACCATTATTAAGTAATTTTTCTGTGAATTGAACATGTATGTGCATACATAGTGAGGTTTATTATGTAGGTACATATTAATTTCTCTTGAATTATTATGTCTATTGGCCTAATGAACAATGTATCCATTGGCTCCATTTGTACATAGCTCTATTAAAGCAATGAAATTTAATTATGTTTGAAAAATTTATGTATCAAGTTAAATTACGACTGCACATTGAAGAAGGGGTGACTAATCAGTTGAATGCTAAAACTAAATAAACTTCAACACTAAAACAACTATTATTTATCCTAATTAATATTTTAGATTGAAAAATCAACACAAACATGGGGTGACTCGACAATTGCAATTTATGGAATAATTAAGAACTCAAAAGAAGGTAATTACATGATGGTCATGATGTATACGAAGCAGGGAAGTCTCTAAAAATTGATAGATAGTAATTATGATGAATTAGATTGGGTTTATAGAATATAACTGATGGGCTTAAGGCTAAAATTTAAAGTGTAAATTTTTAGAAATAAGTATGAACCTTATTTGCAATTATTAAAGTGTATGTAGTAATCTTATTTATCCTAATTAATATTTTAGGGTGAAAATCAGTACAAACAGGGGGCAACGTGATTTATGGAATAACTAAGAACCCAAAAGATGGTAATTACACGATGGTCATGAGCAGAGAAGTCTTTTAAAATTGATAGATACTAAATATGATGAATTAGATTGGGTTTCTAAAATAGCTAACCTATATTATATAGCTAATGGATTTTTAGAAGTATGTACGAATTTAATTTATAATTATTAAAGTGTAGTAATCTTATTTATCCTAATTAATATTTTAGATTGAAAATTATCACAAACACGAGAGTGACTTGATATTTGTGATTTATGGAATAACTAAAGACCCGAACGATGGTAATTGCATGATGGTCATAGAGTATGCAAAGCAGGAAGTCTCTAAAAATTAATAGATAGTAAATATGAAGAATTAGATTAGACTTCTAAAATAGCTAACCTATATTATATAGCTAATGGGCTTAAGATAATTTATAAACTAAAATTTATAGTGTGAATTTTTACCTTAATTTGTGATTATTAAAGTGTAATAATCTTATTTTAAGTTGAAAATCAACATAGCAACTTGGCAATTGCGATTTATGGAATAACTAATAACCTGAAAGATGGTAATTACATGTTAGTCATGGTGTATATAAAGCAGGAAAGTCTCTAAAAATTGATAGATAGTAAATATGATGAATTAGATTGGGTTTATATATATATAACTAATGGGCTTAAAGCTAAAATTTAAAGTGCAAATTTTTAGAAGTACGAACCTTATTTGTGATTATTAAAGTGTAGTAATCTTATTTATCCTAATTAATATTTTAGGGTGAAAATCAACACAAACAGGAGGTGACGCGATATATGAAATAACTAAGAACCCAAAAGATGGTAATTACATGATGGTCATGGAGTATGTAAGCAGGGAAGTCTCTGAAAATTGATAGATAGTAAATATAATGAATTAGATTGGGTTTTGGATTTTTAGAAGTATATACGAATTTAATTTATGATTATTAAAGTGTAGTAATCTTATTTATCCTAATTAATATTTTAGATTAAAATTATCACAAACACAAGAGTGACTTGACATTTGCGATTTATGAAATAACTAAGAACCCGAAAGATGGTAATTGCATAATGATCATTTAATCAATTGTGTTTTAAGTCTAGATATGTATTATTACATTCGTTTTTAGATATTCTCAAAATATACTCACCTGTAGAGATCCATGTTGACTCAAGGTTTTTCCCCCTAAATTCTGTAGCTTTGTTATCATTCAAAGCAAACTGGAGTATTAAATATCATTAAATTTTGTAGATATAATCTTGGGTTGGCATAGACTTTCATGTGTGAGAGTAATATCTTACTGTTACTTGTAAATGACAATCATTTCTGGTACAATAGAACAAATGTAGTTCAAACTGTATTATCAAAAAATGTGATGAATACATATATTAGACTTATAGGAAATATTTTGGAATCTGATATTGAAAGTCTTCAATTCTGGCATTCTATTTTATAGGCAGAAAATGGTAATAGCCTATCAAAAATTTACACCAGTACTAGAGCTCTTAAATCAGAATACACTCAAAGTGGAAAAATCACATAGGCCAGTACATATTTCTTAGTGAAATTCTGTCATCCCATACACTAATATATATATGCATAGGTTGGATTGCCCTGTAGGTGTCCTGACCGATGCTACAAAGACCATTAACAAATTTTATATCAATAACTTTCAAGACAAGTCAAAGCAGAAAGCAATTGATTTGTTACTTGTAAGTTCAATTAAGTAAATTATAAAATTCCATAAAATATGATTATATAAATTTTTATTAAACTTTCTAAAAGGAAAACTGTTAAATTCAAAAGCAATTGAAATTCATAATTCAGTTAATGAAGTGATATGTCAAGATATCTTAAACAGGTAATAACTACTATACGATAATTATTAACAAAACATGATTATTCTTGTTTTTTTATAAAATATCAAATATATATACTATATAGGTTAAGCGACTATTGTTTGAAATCTATTATCAATGTATTTTGTGGTATATACAATTTGAATAGATGCCTACCGTCTGGAGAGTCTCTCTCATCTTGGTTATTTCCTTTTAGTAATTGTACGTACTAGAGTATTTGAAGCAGAAAGTCTCTGAAAATTGATAGATAGTAAATATGATGGCTTCTAAAATAGCTAACCTATATTATATAGCCGATGGGCTTAAGATAATTTATAACTAAAATTTATAGTGTGAATTTTTGAAGTATGACCTTAATTTGTAATCATTAAAGTATAATAATCTTATTTATTTAATATTTTAGGTTGAAAATTAACACAAACATGGGGACGACTCAGCAATTGCGATTTATGGAATAACTAAGAACCTGAAAGATAGTAATTACATGATGGTCATAGAGTATGCGAAGCAGGGAAGTTTCCGAAAATTGATAGATAATAAATTAATATGAATTGATTAGGCTTCTAAAATAGCTAACCTATATTATATAGCTGATGGGCTTAAAATGATTTATAAGCTAAAATTTAAAGTGCGAATTTTTAGAAGTAAGTATGAACCTTATTTGCTATTATTAAAGTGTAGTAATCTAATTAATATTTTAGGGTGAAAATCAATACAAACATGGGGGCGACTCGACAATTGCGATTTATAGAATAGCTAAGAACCCAAAAAGTGGTAATTACACGATAGTCATGGAGTATGCAGTACAGAGAAGTCTTTGAAAATTAATAGATAGTAAATATGATGAATTAGATTAGGTTTCTAGAATAGCTAACCTATATTATATAGCTGATAGATTTTTAGAAGTACGTATGAATTTAATTTATGATTATTGAAGTGTATGTAGTAATCTTATTTATTCTAATTAATATTTTAGATTGAAAATCATCACAAACATGAGGGTGACTTGACAATTGCGATTTATAGAATAACTAAGAATCTGAAAGATAGTAATTGCATAATAGTCATAAAGTATGCGAAGCAGGGAAGTTTGAAAATTGATAGATAGTAAATATGATGGCTTCTAAAATAGCTAACCTATATTATGACTAATGGGCTTAAGATAATTTATAAGCTAAAATTTATAGTGTGAATTTTTAGAAGTACAAACCTTAATTTGTGATTATTAAAGTGTAATAATTTTATTTATTTAATATTTTAGGTTGAAAATCAACACAAACATGGGGCAACTCAACAATTGCGATTTATAAAATAACTAAGAACCTAAAAGATGGTAATTACATGATAGTCATGGAGTATGCAAAGCAGGAAGTCTCTGAAAATTGATAGATAGTAAATATGATAAATTAGATTGGGCTTCTAAAGTAGCTAACCTATATTATATACTTAAGATAATTTATAAGCTAAAATTTATATGTAGTGTGAATTTTTAGAAGTACAAACCTTAATTTGTAATTATTAAAGTATAATAATCTACCGTAGTGCACTGCCTAAAAGACCCCCCTTTCATAATTTCCCCCATGTAAAAGACCCGGGTATAATATATAGCGCAAAATTATGTAACTCTGGTAAAAATTAGAAATTTTGGCCCAGTAAAAAACAAGATACCCTGGGTATTTTGTAAGTTTTTTGCCAGGGTTTTTGTATAAGACCCCGGGTCTTTTGGGCAGTGCACTATGGTATATACATAGTTTTTTTTTCAAAATTACGCAGATATTCATGTTCACAAGATCACATGATTATAATTTCATGGACATCTATATCTGTATGGGCATGTGACCAGGGTTGGGTATATCTTTCAAATGTTCTTTGGACGAAGTGAAATTTTTATTTTTATTTTATCTAATTATTTAATGATGTAAATTATCTATAACTTATTTATCTAATATTTTAAGTTAAAAATCAACACAAAGATAGAGGTGACTCAGCAATTACGATTTATAGAATAACTAAAGAACCTGAAAGATGGTAATTGCATGATGGTTATGGAGTATGCGAAGCAAGAAGTCTCTAAAAATTGATAGATAGTAGATATGATGAATTAGATTGGGCTTCTAAAATAGCTAATCTACATTATATAGCTAATAGGCTTAAGATGATTCATAAGCTAAAATTTAAAGTGCGATTATTAAAATGTAGTAACCTAATTAATATTTTAGGGTAAAAATCAACACAAACAGGGCAACTCGAAGTCTTTAAAAATTGATAGATAGTAAATATGATGAATTAGGTTGGGTTTCTAAAATAGCTAATCTATATTATATAGCTAATAGATTTTTAGAAGTATATATGAGTTTAATTTATGATTATTAAAGTGTACATAGTAATTTTATTTATCTCAATTAATATTTTAGATTTAAAATTATCACAAACACGAGAGTAACTTGACATTTGCAATTTATGAAATAACTAAGAATCTGAAAAATGGTAATTGTATGATGGTCATGGAGTATGCAAAACAGGGAAGTTTCTGAAAATTGATAGATATTAAATATGAATTAGATGGGGCTTCTAAAATAGCTAATCTATAATATATAGCTGATAGGCTTAAGATGATTCATACCGTACATATAAGCATGAAATAACGTGAGGGTGTAATTACGAATTTTGATCTAAATTAATACTAATTCGGGCCATTATTCAGAATAATGCCTCTATGTTATTTCACATCTATATGATAAGCTAAAATTTAAAGTGCGAATTTTTAGAAGTATGAACCTTATTTGCGATTATTAAAGTGTAGTAATCTAATTAATATTTAGGGTGAAAATCAACACAAACATAGGGGCGACTCAACAATTGTGATCTATAGAATAACTAAGAATCCAAAAGATGGTAATTACATGATAGTCATGGAGTATGCGATATAGAAAAGTTTCTGAAAATTGATAGATAGTAAATATAATGAATTAGATTGGGTTTCTAAAATAGCTAACCTATATTATATAGCTAATAGATTTTTAGAAATACGTACGAATTTAATTTATAATTATTAAAGTGTACATAGTAATCTTATTTATCCTAATTAATATTTTAGATTAAAAATTATCACAAACACAAGAGTGACTTGACATTTGCAATTTATGGAATAACTAAGAACCCAAAAGATAGTAATTGCTGATAGTTATGGAATATGTGAAGCAGAGAAGTCTGAAAATTAATAGATAGTAATATGATAGCTTCTAAAATAGCTAACCTATATTATATAGCTAATGGGCTTAAGATAATTCATAAGCTAAAATTTATGGTATAAATTTTTAGAAGTATGAACCTTAATTTGTAATTATTAAAATGTAATAATCTATATATATAGTTTTTTTTTCATAATTTCGCGGACATTCATGTTCGCAAAATCACATAATTATAATTTCAGGACATCCTTGTCCGTATGGGCATGTGATCAGGGTTGGGTACATCTTTCAAATGTTCTTTGGATGAAGTGAAATTTTTTTTTTTTTTATTTAATTATTTAATGATATAAATTATCTATAACTTATTTATTTAATATTTTAGGTTAAAAATCAACACAAGCATGGAGCAACTCAACAACTACAATTTATAAAATAACTAAGAACCCAAAAGATAGTAATTACTTTATGGCCATGGAGTATGCAAAGCAGGAAAGTCTCTGAAAATTGATAGATAGTAAATATGATGAATTAGATTGGGCTTCTAAAATAGCTAACCTATATTATATAGTTGATGGGCTTAAGATAATTCATAGGCTAAAATTTAAAGTGCAAATTTTTAGAAGTACGAACCTTAATTTGTGATTATGTATAAAGTGTAGTAATCTTATTTATCATAATTAATATTTTAGGTTGAAAATCAACACAAACATAGGAGCAACTTGACAATTGCAATTTATAGAATAAATGGTAATTACATATTCATTGAATATGCGAAGTAAGGAGGTTTCTGAAAATTGGTAGATAGTAAATACTATATGATGAATCAGATTGACAATTCATAAAGCCAAATAAGTGCATAACCTGGAAATATAATTAATCATAATTCTAATAAAATCATGTAATAACGTAAATAACTTGACATATATATACAGTAGGGTTTAGGCATGGACACGATGTGTGCCCAACCCTAAAGCTGCACTGATCTTAAATGAAATATCAGATACATACGTACATGTTAATTCAGTAACTGGTAAGATAATTAGAAGGAACACATCTCTGTGAAAATAGCATCTCAAAATATATACATAAATTCACAGAAAATTTCATCTCAGACCTGAAAAGTTTGAACAATAAAAAATATTTCTAGAAGTAGAAATTATTTTAATTTGGCCTGTTTTCTGGCATCTAAATCGATTGATCAGATAATAATCGTGATGATGCTCAAGCATCATAATTGATGAATTAAATGCTTGAGCATACTTTTTTTGGTTTTTTTATAATGTTTGCTATACCTAAAAAACCTAATGAAAAAAATTTCTTTTTGATCAACCATTAAAGTTTTAACTTTAGTTATATCAGCTCCTTCTTTTAATAATTTGATTTTTTTAACTACGTATCTGTCAAATATTGAAAAAATCTACCCAAACCTTTCAGTTTTAGGTCTTCTTTACTGAGAAGATTTTAAATTTAAATGTGAAAAATAGAATAACAGTATTCATTATGGTTTAAATGATTGCTGTATTTATTATGCTCATATTAATATATCAAACCTCACTCAATGGATCAAAAGTAAATTTTTAATCAGAAATTGAATCTTTTTTCTCCAAAAATTTACTATTGATAAAGGTTGCTTAAGCATTATATTACTTTTATATTTTTTACATATTCAACAGATTTCTAACTGGTCTAAGGCTGTTCTCAAGCATTTAAATCAATTGATTGAATAATAGTTGTTATGATGCTCAAGCATCACAATTGATGACAATATTTATAGAATTAAATGCTTGAGCATACTTTTTCTGTTTTTCATAATGTTTGCTATACATACTATATAAACTGTTAAAGTTTCAACTTTAGTTATGTTGGCTCTTCCTTTTAATGATTTGATTTTTTTTACCATTCGTCAAATATGAAAAATTTACCTAAACCTTTCAGTTTTAGGTCTTCTTTACTGAGAAGATTTTAAATTAAATGAGGAATAACAGTATTCATTATAGTTTAAAAGATTGCTGTATTTATTACGCTTATATTAATATATTGATTAGTTGTTTAAAAGCTTCGAATATTAAAAATCGTTTTAGACCAGTTACATAGAAATTTGGTAAAAATTAATTGTTTATTATGTTTGATATATAAAAAATGTAAAAGTAATGCTTGAATGACCTTTATCAATTGTAAATTTTTGAAGAAAAAGGTGTTCTCAAGCACCTCACTCAATAGATCAGAAGTCAATTTTTAATTATATAGTAGAAATTAAAAAATTAACCAAGTGAGTTACCATTTCGATGAACAAATCGGTAAGACACAACCCACTTTTTTTTTCTATTGATAAAGGTCGCTCAAGCATTACTTTTACATTTTTTACATATCAAATATAAACAATTAATTTTCACATAACCAGTCTAAAAAGATTTTTAATATTCAAAGCTTTTAAACAACTAATCGATACATTAATATGAGTGTAATAAATACAGCAATCTTTAAAACCATAATGAATACTGTTATTCCATTTTTCACTCATTTAAATTTAAAACCTTCTCAGTAAAGAAGACCTAAAACTAAAATGTTTGGGTAGATTTTTCCATATTTGACAGATGGTAAAAAAAATCAAATCATTAAAAGGAAGAGCCGATGTAACTAAAGTTGAAACTTTAACAGTTTAGATAGTATGTATAGCGAACATTATAAAAAACAGAAAAAGTATGCTCAAGCATTTAATTTTATAAATATTGTCATCAATTGTGATGCTTGAGTATCATAACTAATATTATTTGATCAATTGATTTAGATGCTTGAGAACAACCTTAAACTGGTTAGAAATTTGTTAAGAATTAATTATTTATATGCAAAAAATGTAAAAGCAATGCTTAAATGACCTTTATCAATAGTAAAGTTTTGAAAAAAAAGGTGAGTTTTGCCTCACTGATTTGTTTTATTCAATTTTGACTAATTAAAAAATTTACTTCCGATCCATTAAGTGAGGTGAGAACACCTTTAGTGATTTAATTGAAACTAGATAATTATTTTGTATATATTCTAGAAACTACTACGTATTAGTATTATTTTATTTTGGAATTTCTGGAATGTATATTGTGTTGTTTATCATAATCATCAATATTATTTTCTTAATTAATGATTTGCTTAGTGGCACAATATTTAATACATTTTTAATGTGATTAGATAATTTGCACCGTAAAAAAACTTTTAAAAATTTTAAATAAGCAGATTAGTAATGCATAAAAGAATTTTGACTATGACAAAATAGATCAAGGAATTATCACTAAAATTACTATATAATAAGTAATTTGTTGTATAATTAAATAATTTTACTCCTTTTCTTCAAACAGGATTACAGTATTTCAACTATCACATAGAAAAGATTTTACAATAATTTTACTAAACAAATATGATAAATATGATAAATAGAATAAATAGATAAGAAGGTGTGGTGACTTAGTATAGTGGTCTAGTCATCACCCTCTCCAAATGGCAGGTTTAGAGTTCGAATCCCACAGATGACAATTTTCGAAAATTGGGCTTGTGTTCGGTTAATGGCTATGCTTATCGGTTGGATCTAATCTGAAACTTCG